TTTTATTGATTAAGGATTCTGGTCACGTGATATGGAAGAAATATCAAATTTCTCATTGATGACAAGAAAACTGCCCTCTGGCTATTTGAGAGATTGAGTATAGGCATCCCCGCCAATAAACCTCTTGACCCTATGGAAGCTGAGTGGATCAGTAACGCGACGATGGGAGGTCAAAAATATTTGGCGTGTAACAAGAATTATTATTTATGTATTTTTTTTTTTTTTTCTTTTATATCTTACTATGTAGTTAGGGAGACGGAGAAATGATAGTTAGTGCAAAATAAGGTGTGATCCATTTATTTATTGGTCATAAGAACGTTAAATTTTTATTGATGAAGTTAAGATCAAGAGCATTTGGTGTTGCTATTGTTATTTGATGTATTTGTAGTTAAAGGAGATGGGAAATATATGAGTTAATGGATAGTGCATAATGGGGAAGTGTATAGAACGTGACCTATTTATTTCTTGGTTGTGTGTAAGTGTGAAATTGAGATCAAGAATGTGTGCAACGAGAATTATAATTTGATGTATTTGGATAGTTAAAGTAGCTGTCAGCTCCTAAAGTCGATCGATCCAGGTACGCCTAATAATAAGAAATTCTTATCACTCTTGACGACCATAAAGTCATCTTAGAGTTCTCTCCATCGTATACAAAAATGCCAAGGCCATATGCAGTCCCAAGATGGAGAAGGTGTACGAGTTGATGGATTAGAGGAGTGAATTCCTTGTTGATGAAATTGAGATCAAGAGTGTTTGGCGATTATTATTTGTGTAGGAGATAGGGAAGGTATATGAGTTGATGAGAAGTGTATAATAGAGGAGTATAGTATTGATGTCTAGTTTTGTAGGAACAAGAATGTTTTGATGTGCAACGAGAATTATTATGTAATGTATTTGTGGCTAAAGGTGATCTATTTATTCCTTGATCAGTTTTTTATTGATGAAGTTGAGATCAGGAGTGTTTAGTGTGTAATAAGAATTGTAATTTTTCTTTTTCGTCTTGTGTTGTAAAGGGAGCTGCGAAAAAAAAAGAATTATATATGTGTATATGTTATATGCCTTGTGATGTAGAAGGAACGTTAAATTCCTTATTAATGAAGTTTAGATCAAAAATGCTTGATGTGCAACGAGATTATTATTGATGAATTTGCGGTCAAAGTAGATGAGAAGGTGTACGAATTGATGGATAGCGCGTAATAGAGGGTGTGTAGTATTTATTTCTTAGCTTGTAAGGAACGTTACTTCTTATGAAGTTGATCAAGAGTATTTGGCACGTATCGGGAATATTATTTGATGTATTCTTTTTTTATCTTGTGTAGTTAGGGAGATGGGGATAATATATTGGTGCAAATAAGGTGTGACCTATTTATTTCTTGGTCGCACGATGCGGAAATAACATCAAAATATCAAATTCTTTATTGATGAAGTTGAGATCAAGAAGTATTTGGTATTGCCCACCTTATGGTTGGTGGTCGGTCTTTTTTTAGGCAGATGTGGTAGTGTTTAGATTGTTACGTTGAGTGAATGTTGTACCAATCTTTTAAATAAATAAAGATTTATTTTTTAGGGGAGATAGGGAAAGATATACGAGTTGAATGTAGTGTATTATATAACTCTAGTTTTATTTCATTGAAAAATTACAATTAAATCCGCTTGCTTTTGAAATTTTGCTTAATAAATAAATACATATACTTAATATATATCCATTATATTTAGAGATGTGCCACTTAGTGTTATATAACATACAGTGATGTGCAAAAAAAATGACAATTTTTCAAGTCACGTTAATTTTTTAACCAATAAACCAATCAAAAAATAAAAAGTAGTATTATTTTAAAGCTAAAACATAGTAGACTTTATTAAAAAAAATTAATATGGTATTCGTTCACCATTTCTGTCAATAACCTCCCTACAACGTTGCGGCATTGAATTTACAAGATTAATTAGGAGGTTATTTGGAATTTTTACCCATTCTTCATGCAAAAAAACATCTAATTCATTAAGATTTTTTGGTCTACGCAACTCTGTATTTCTCTTAACAATTGCCCAAAGGTTTTCTATGGGGTTTAGATCTGGACTATTGGATGGCCAGTCCATAACCTCTGGGACATTATTTTTGAGAAATTCCTTAGCAACCCGACTAGTATGTTTAGGATCATTATCTTGTTGCAGCTGCCAACTATCTCCTAACATACTGTACACCTCTGGAATTTGTCTTTCTAATATTTTTGTGTAAAATTTTCCATCCATTATACCCCTAAAACAAAAAAGACTTGTTTTACCTCTTATGCAAAAACCACCCCATGCAAAAATTTTACTTCGGTCTTTTGGTATGGGACGAATTGGCCGTTGTTTTTTATACCAATGTCTTACTGTGTTGCGGAATAGCTGGAAAGCTGTCTCATCACTAAATAAAGTATTTTGCCAGTCATCATTCATGTGATTTTGTGCCCATTCAATACGTTTATGCTTATGGGCTGGAGTAAGCATTGGTGTAGCAAGGGGGAGTGCATTTTTGTATCCGTGACTGGTCAAATACCTTGAAACTGTTGAGCGAGAGACGTTAACACCAACATCTTCCAATTTGGCAGCAATGAACTTGGCGGTAATTGTGGGTTTTCTTCGAATATATTGTCCAATTTCACGAGCAGCCTTTTGCGTTATTTTACTAATACGTCCATTGCCACCTCTATGTTTCACATCTCCGGTTTTTTTGATTTTTTTAAGGTTCCTATATATTGTCCTAAGTGGTATCTTTGTCAAAGAATGAATTTTGGCGGCAGTACGTATTCCTTGCCTCCAGAATTGTAATATCGTTTGTCTTTGAGTTTCTTGCTTAGATAGTGGCATTTTATACGGTTAATAAAATACAATTTTATTATATATGGGAAAAAATTTTTCGTTAAAAAATATAGTAATCACGGGGCTTTCATACGCATATTTATTTGTGTAGATACGACTAAAATCGGATAAGTTATGCCTGCTGATCATTACTCAAAAAAAATTGTCATTTTTTTTGCACACCACTGTATATAACACATATATATAATTAAAAAAATACATACAATATGAATAAAAATTTTTATAAATACAATATATACTTTTATTATTCTATATTAAAAATATACCATTTTTGCTATATAATATTTATAACATTAAAAACAACAAATATAACAAACATAACATGTTATATATGTTATTTATGTTATTTATGTTATATATATCATTAATCTCACTTCACGTGACCAGTGACAGATAAGGGATGAAAATTTTTGTGACTTCAGAATATACAGCCTGGTAATTGATTGATCAAAAAAATTTTTATTCATATTATATGTATTTTTTTTAGTTATATATATATGTTATATATGTTATATAACACTAAGTGGCACATCTCTAATTATATTTAATAAAAAAAAATTTTGATCGGGTAATGATGAGGCTTCAACGCCACAACAATGAGTTCTTAAGCCAGTTACAATCTCGACATTCTTAATTTTTTTAAACGAGCGCGTAAAACTATAAAATATAAAAACTTAAAGCATCAAACAGTCAAACAGATCAATACTACATCATAAATTTATCAACACATTAAATTAAAATATTGTTTAAGGAATTTTTATAAGAAATTATATTCTAAATAAAATTATGCTAAATTACCAATTAATTTATATTTAATATTAATTTTCTTTTTTAAAGTTTCATTTCTAATTCTATTAGGATTAACATTCAAAGTAATTCCATTCAAGGGCTCTTTAGAAGCCCAATCAATCATCGTTTCGTATACTTTGCCATCAAAGTGGTCGGGTCACTGCCAAAGCGTCATAATTTTTCTGTTTAGCGCTGACATAAATTCTGACATGTAAATGTATCAACACTGTATCAACCACATTTGGTCTGTTATAAAATTTTTACTAAAAGATGGTAAAGATATTGAATTATTCCATGATTTCTTTTGTGATTATCGATTTGATCGTAACTAGGTGAGCTGACAATTCTTTTTAATGTGCATTGCTTAATAATGGGTATTGATTTTCTTCATTATCATCAAAATATAAAAAGACAGCTGAAACTAAACCTTCAGAATCTTCATTAAAATAATTTACTTTTAAAGTTTTTATATTTTAACAAATAGTGGCAAGTCGAGTAATATTTAAACTAATTTCAAGAGAAATTAGGTTTGAAAAAATGATTCCTCACTCGGATATTTATCAGTATCCAAATAAAAAAGATAACTTCTAATTTCAAAATTTTTTTTGTACAAAAAATCCATAATTTCTTCCTTTATTAAAAGTCGTACCATATCTTTAATCCAACTTGGCGCGAAACGAGTAAATAATTCACGAATACAAATGTTGGTTTTCTTGGTAACTTATATGAAGATAATATAATATTATTTTTAATAAAAAGGTTTACTGATTCAATCGGTTGATTGAGAGGCATAAATTTTTGGATTTTACTTGACATCACTTCACAAATGGTTTTTAGAAGCTAAATAATAAAAAAATTGTCAAAAAAGAAAATTGAAAAAAAAAGAGAAAATTACTAAATTTTTTTACTTACATAACGAGCAGTTTGATGTGCAAGTTGCATTTGGTAAATAATTTTATTAAAATATAACGAACCCGCTAAAATTTGAATAATCATGGCCGCCACATGTCTTTCTACAATCTTCAATTGAATCTACTGCCATCATGGTAGTTAAGGATGTTAATCCTGATGTAAGTCTGCTAACAGAGAAAAATCACTTTCGGAACTCCGTTTAAGGTATTTCATATACAAATCAATCATGGCTTTTACTGTGTGGTATAAGCTTGGGCGATTATTGGGAATAATCGATATTGTTGCATTGTATAATTAAGCACTGAAGTTTCTACTATACGTCTAAATTATAGAAATTACACATTAATAAAAACCAAAGAAAACTAATTTAAAATTATATGTATTTTTAACTCACCAGTCTTTCGATTTTTTGGTTGATCATTATCAACAAATTGTCTTCATACGGCCGCTGCAATCGTTGCAGTACGTGCAAGTGAAATTCGAACATTTGTGACAATCATGGCACGAACGAATACCATGGCACCATAAGATAATTTGTTATTCGGCAGATTTATGTATTCGCTTGTAGCTTTTTTTAATTTGTAAAAGCATATTAAAGCGTGGAATTCTCATATGGTCAAAATCATCAATCGATTATCAGTAGCGTTATAGAACCGATATCTCGTAATTGCGTCTCTAAATCTCTAATTTGAACGATAAATGGACGAAGATCATAGTCCTTTCCACTGCTCTTTAATTTTTCCATAACGATAGCGTGGTTGCTGCGTACATTAAAAAAAGTTTAGTATTCAGAAATTTCGTGATATAATTATATCAATATAAATTAAACCTACGCTGTTCTTCCTAGACCTCCAAATCCACCATTTTGATGCGGTCAAATATGATAAATATATTTCGATTCTGGAATATATGTTACAGTTATTCCGAGCCACGTTAGACCGTGATCCAACTCCGTTTGAGCATAACATCCAATATTTCATATTTAAGTGCTGGGATTAGGGATTTTTTATTGTTCTTCGGATCCTTGTCCGAATACCGTAAGTATTCCCATAGCGTGTTTAGACTTGACCTACTGAATTTTCACGTCATGTTTAACCATCAGTCTCTCATAATCTCCCTTAAACTCAAGCCGTGAGTTAATCCATATAAAATGTTTCTACATTAGAAATAAATATAAGGAATATTTAATATTCTAATAAAAATAACATTAATATCACTGTATTCATCCCGCTCCTCGCACTTGGAGATAATCTAACACTATTTTTGAGCAAAAGGTAAAAAACGTGTAAAGTTTTTGAGTAGATGATAGGATTTTGTAGGCGTGAGAAAGATATTTCCACAGCATAGGTACCACCAGACACTTTTAACTAAAATGCATGAATATAACCGTAACATATTATGCGAAGATAGTATATATTAAATCCTAAAAATAAGAATAATAAATATCTGTGCGAGTATATAAAATATGATTAACTTTTTTTTTTAATAATTATTTATTAAACTTTTTACCTGCTTGATTATCAAAATTCTTGGTTAATTCCTTAATTTTTCTTTCTCTGTCTTTATTTATTTATGCATTAAGCATTAACGTCCGTAGTTAACCTCTTTATCTTTGGATAATGTTTAGATATCATTTTAAATAGTTGTCCACTTTCGATCGGATAATCTTTGAGATTCAAGTAAATGGGTTCCCATCATTCAATACTACTTGGTTAGAATGTAGTTTCAAGATATTGGAGATCTGGAAATTCTCAATTGTCCCCAGTCTACACTCTCATAATAAAATTCATCACTATCATTAATTAGTTTCAAATGTTAAACTTGTAAGAAATGTAGGATCAATAAATGTAACAAATGGTGTTAATATAATTTGTTTTAATGTGGTAGCTTTTTTTCGCTTAATAATGGGTATTGGTTTTCCATTTCATCATAAGATGATTTGAAAGTTCTCTTTTCATTATTTAATGGTTTAAGTTATTTGGGAGAATTCTAATTTATGGAGGTTAGGACAAGGTATTAAATAAGATAAATGAAAATTTTTTTGACGTGAATAGGGAATTTTAATTTTTTTTTTTTTTTAAAAAAAAAAAAAAAAACAGGGTTTAAATAGAAATGGTTGTGTGGCGTTTCGAGCACGTCTGCCAGGTTAGTGTCGATCACGGTGACAAATAACGGTGACAAATAAATTTTTGGCACGAAAAAAATTCTCTGTCCCTCAGATACAGTTCACCCTCGCTATAGTGAAGCTCATAGGCTGAAGGTTAAGATTCACTATAGTAAGGGATTCACTATAGCGAAGGTGAACTGTATTAAGAATTATTATTTATATAGAAAATCCGTACCTGAGCTTTTCTTTACTATAGCAAATTATTCACTATATAAAAATTCACTATAGCGAGGGTGAACTGTACTTAGTGTTTTTGAACTCGTGGCTGCACGTGATCAAGTGACGCGTAAATATCACCCCTTCCTATTATAGAAGTGATCGACACTAGCCTGGCACAGATTTCAGACCAGCGCGTTTCGAAATATGTGACTAGAGTTTCGATCCGTAGCGGTTTTATCCGGTTTTTATCCGGATACCGGCTCGGTTAATTTAGGCTGGGACCACCAAAATTAATAAAATTTATGAAATAATATTATTTTAATTCTGGCCGAAATTATAGTCCACTCAAAGCCGAAATTTGTAACCTTTTTTAATTATAATCCCACGTTAAAATATTTGAGGTTTTATCCGGATCGAAACACTATATGTGACACATTTCTTAAATACTGTGATACAATGTATTCGTGCTACGCTACGTATCTCATCAGGAGTTGGTCAAGTTGATGTTCAAGTAATTTCTTCACACAAACGTAATATTTAAAATACATTCGGAGAATCGATTAAATGAAGAATGTAAATTATGTAATGGATTCTTGTTATAATATGGAAGTCAGAAAGTGAAACTTTTAGCAATAGAGCTTATTGCCGTGGAACGCCTTAAATAAAAGGTGTTAAATAGTTAAAAAATATACTACAAGTTATATCGTTATTACAGTTATTACAATATTATTTTTATATTTGCAAATTATTTTTAACATTGCATTTCCTACTCGAAATTCATAATAATACAAAAATTACGAACTTAGATCTGTTGATAAAGAAGTTGCAGTACTATATAAGCAAGAAATTCTCTTGGTTCGTAATATGAAATCTACAAATATGAAATTTTTTTGCATCTCACTTACAGTACAATAATTGATTAACTATATTATACCAAAGAACACGATATAAAACGGTCTTAATCCAGATATTTAATAATATAATTCCCGTAATCCGTAATCGTGAGGATTCGTTGTGATGATAATATACAGTATGATGTAAAACTATTTGAACATTAACCCTAAACGTCTCGAAACTTCCTATTGAAAATACATCATTCAATCCATTTATAAATATTAAGAACAAAATTTATTAAATAATAAAAAATCCTTTCAAAAAAAAAAGTGCAGATTCGATGATTTTACTTACAGAAGGAAATCAAAGTTTTGGGGATATGGCAACTCGGAGCGTATATGAACTGATGATCCTTATTCTAAAGCTGATTTCTATCAAATTCCAGTAAAAAGTCACAAAAGATAAACCTAGAGTTTTGATCAATGGTTGATTCAAGTGTTACGTTGATACGGTCAACCCTCGATATAACGAACTCGGATTTTCCAACACGTCCAATTAAATACGTTAAATATCACCGAATGTGAGGTAAAAAAAAGTTTTGCGAAAGAGGCAACATATTAAAAATTGTCTTTAGATAATTACAGATGGGATTCGTTATCGAATTGATTCTTTTTTAGGAAAGGTTCTTTTATGTTCAATTCAGCTGATATTACATTATAACAGCCAAGATTTAAATATTAACTCTCTTATTTTATCTTTTGTTTTCTCATATAATAGTTCGCTTTTTTCTAAAAAAAAAAAGTCAAAATATAAAATAATGATTGTGGGTACAACAATTCTCTAAGAGAAAAAATTTTTTTTGAACCTTCAAAAAATGAGGTATCCTCATTCATATTGTAACCAATTGATTTACTCGATCAAATTTAAAAAATCTAGGATTTTTTCTACTGAGAGAATGCTTCCAGTTCAATAAGTAATATTATCCAAAATTTCTAGGGTCTTTTATGGTTGTAATATACCCCGTGTAAATTTCTAATACTATTACCAAATATTCCGATTCACGATGATTAAAAAATAGTAAGAATCTCATTTCGCCGAAACCATTTCGCCGCCGAAGGGACGTTTCACCGAAAGGACGTTTCGCAGAAAGTGTATTTTATCGAATCCATTTCACCGAATCGTCCATTTCGTCAAATGGACAAATGGTAGCGATTAACATTTTTATAAAAAATATTCATCACGCAATGAAAATAAAAATTAAATTAAATTATTTTTTTTTCCAGGATATTACTACTTCAACATTCAATGAGTAACTGATATTAATAATTAAGCAATAAATAAATAACTCTATTTTCTTTGAAAACATTTATTCACGAAAAAACAAATAACGAGGTAAATTTATAAAAAAGTCCGGATACCGAGTTTTATTATGCAGCAAAAAGGCTCAGTTTAGCAATTTTAAATTTATTATTAAAATTAGTTTAGGCGACACATTGTTAAAAATTGGTTCTCGTTTCATGGATTCAAAATTTTGGGCTGGCGGTCGGTATTTTTATTTAAAAATTTAATATTACTAAAATTTTTTCCGTAAATTTTCACAAAATTAGGTCGACGGGTGAAAATCAGTTCTAAAAATTTAAACTTGGGTCCATTTTTATGGAAGTTTATAACGTCACGTGACACAAATTGACCTTTGGGATTTCGGCAACGATTTGGAATTTCGGCAACAATTTGGGATTTGGGCAATAGTTTAGGATTTGGGATTTGGGTAAAATTCAATTGTTTATCGAATTATAGCAATTAAATGAATTATATATTATAATAATTTAATAATTTATCAGTTTAGCCAAAATTATCTATTAGTATTTATTGTATTATCGATATAAGCAAAGGTATATAAAATTTTATCAATTTAATACATAACATAATGGAAAAATAATAAGACACTGTAAATGGTAACCATATAATTTTATTTTCACCATTATTTTCAATAGATTTCAATGTATTCCCTAGCAAAAAGTGTATAAAATTTTATCAATTTAATACATAACATAATAGAAAGATAATAAGAGACCGTAAATTGAGGACATGGTTACCACTATTTTCAATAGATTTCAATGTGTTCCCTACTCTAAAATATTCATATCATCATTGCAAATAAAAGATAATCTGCCATATATAAAGACAATACACACTAATATGACAAATTCATCAAAATTTAGAAGATTGGTTCAATAAAACTTCTTTTAAAAGGTTCAGGATTATCATCAATCGTAAATAAGCTTCTGGCTTCTTCTAAAATATGTTTTGAAAGTTGGGGATAATAATAACAGTATGGGGGTGTATTTAAGTATCTAAAAACTATTAAGGAATTTTTGCATCTAGCATAAGCTATGATTATTTCTAATATATCATCATTAATAAAAGAATCCATACAAATACCAATTTCCTTGAGTTGACATTGCATATTACGAAATAAAGCTCCCAACATTTCAATAATCATAGATGAATCAATCTCCAAGATTTCCAAAATTTGTAAAGAAGAAGAAAATGAATGAGCCAAATCAGCAATTTGATCAATCCTAAGATAATTATTATCCCAATCTAATTTTAATAAAACAAGATGATCCAAACTTTCCAAAAATGAAATGATAGTATAAATATCATTTTGAAATATTCTAATGAAAAGATGTGTAATATTTGTACAAAAAGGCCAAATTAATTCCGTAAAGTTATTAGCATTAGAATGAACAATATATTTATCATAATAAAGTGTTTTAAGATCATTATTTGACATTAAAATAATTCTTTTGAATAGAGTGAGAACAGGAAAATAGGAGATTGTAATATGAAAATTCTTGAGATTATTAAATTTTGAATTAATAGGTTTATTTAATTCTGAAAGATCAGTATTTTTATTACAATAAAAACTAACAAGTTCAATTGTTTCCAGATTTGAACAATGATCCAATATACTAATAATTATATTAAAATTACGAATTTCATGTAATTTTAAATGAGTTAAAGAATGAGAATGTTTTTTAACAAAGTTCTTATCATTCCTAATAAAACAAGGCATTTCCAATGATTTCAAATTATCCAATGAAATAATGAAAGAACTTAAAATATCCAATAAATCATTAAATTCGGGATTAAGTTTTTTCAATTTTTGTTGTTTAAATTCTTTCTTTGTAAATATTAATCGAACATGGTTTATGTTATTATTATGATCAGAAATGATTTCAGTAAGTTTTGTTGCATTCTTTTGAATAAATTTTAAAATTTCCTTCATTTTTATATCAAATCTAAAACCAAATCCAAAAGTAAATTTGTTGATATTTGATAAAACATGACCGAGAATTCTATCATCAAATGAACTCATATCTATTTGATTTTTTTCATCATTCAAATCAACATTCAAGTATTTAAAATTACTTTGAATATTAAAAAATAACTTTTCCATAAAAGGGTTAAGAATATGAACAACACTATTAATTCGATTCTCTGTAGTTGAAGCAAAATGATATTGATAAAGAAAGGATCTCATTGATGTTTGTATATTTAATATTTCAAATTCTTGAAGAAAGCTTGGATAATTAATAAAAGGTTTTGGAAAGTCAATAACAGAGTTATGAAAGAATGCCGTGATCTGTTCTTTTTCTTGATCATCAAGACAGGAGAAATATGTTCGAAAGATGAGAGCTTTTTTCGTCTCATCTTGTTTAATATATTTAAATGGGTTTCTCCAAAGTATACGTACAACGACTTGACAATAATCTTGATTTAAAACGACACATGAATATAAAGTTTTAATATCGTGAATAACATACTGAATAATTTCATATATACAGTCGGCTGTTAAATTTACTGTACTGGTGATATCTTGATTTCGCGACATATTTCGTAAAAAAAAAGAAAGAAAAAGAGATGTAAAAAAAATTTTTTTTTTAATCCGAAAGACTTATTCCTATTTATGGCGCAAATTCTGTCACACAAACATGAAATTCAATGAACGTTACACGTTTCACATGATCTATTGCTGATATATTATTAATTTTCGAAAAATCTTCCAATATACAATTTTGAAGATAATTTCATTTCTTATCGTTGTTGCTATGATTTTTTACTCCTGAAAATCTACTTAAATTTAAATAATTCAGTTGATTAATATATTAAATTAAATTTATTAAGAACAAACAAATTATTTTATAATAAATTATTATAATTACGAATTACGATAAAAAAACTATTAATCATCAATTTGTTGGCATCAGATCACGCCTTAAGAAATTTGTGAAACACGATATTTGGAGATCCATTAATACTTTTTATTCCTTCACATTATATTTATATCCGATGTATAATAATTAATCCTTTCTTAAAAAATTGCCTCCATCATGAGGTTAATTAAGAGGATAATATGTTATGTATAGCTTTGGGACAATATTTCCGTTATTCAAAGTGTAGTCTGGTTGTCGATCATGTAAGATTGATTAGAAATCACGTGACATTTGACATCTCTTAATAGATTTTGTTACTACCTTACATGTCCGATATACCCTAACATTCTCAACATTTTGATCATCAAATTCGAGTACAAGCGTCGCTTTTTTAATGCACAATTGAACTCTTGCTTAACTAGCGAACTTTTTATCAAATACGAATAGAATAACAGCATGGCGATTGAACGAACCACATATCACAAATCGCACTACCGCGTTCAATGATTTTCGTATTAGAACTTAATCATATTCAAGGAAACGACAATAATATTTCCAGAGCACCAACACAACCTATTACATTAAGATCAACTGCAGCGTCGGTACCACAAAACGCACTCTCAATCAAATCATTATTATTACCCGCTACCTTACATGATGACTTTATTGAAAAAGCTACAATTCTAGCAAACAACCAACATTTAGAATTTTTCTCGGATGGATCATTATGCAGACCTCCAGACAATTTAGCACCGTTAATGGGCTTTGGTTGGCTTTTATCTTCACCACCAGATATCGCTATGAGCTTCTATGCTCGGATAACCAATTGGGCGAGTTCATCTGGAGCAGAATGTTCGCGATTTTCAATTTACTTTTAATTTGTCCACTCCGCAGTAATATAGATTCACAAGCTACTATTCAAACCTTTAATGCTTTATATTTATATACTCCTCGATTAACTGATAGACGTTTACAAAAATTGAATAACTGCCATCTATGCCAGTCCATCAAACAAATTATTGACACCTTACAGCTTCAAGTGACACTTTCAAAAGTCAAAGCGCACTCTAATAATTTTTACAATGACCAAGCGGATGCGTTAACGAAGCAAGGATCTCGTAATCTTATAAGTGACGTTAATCACAAAGACCTCAAACGTCAATAAGGTTCACTTATTTTTAACAAAGAACATATTATTGATAGAAATATTCGTTCCACTCTCAAAAAACCCTTACAATATAGAAACCTAGAAAGACATTTATCTCACGATTTGATTCAGGACCTTTCATTCAATGAAATCGTCAATTGGGAATTTACTAAATCCTGTGACTTACAACCCTTTCGATCGACCTACATCTCGTCAACTGAGTAAAATTACAAGTTGGAAGATGAAAACTTCGACTTTAATGTTACCTACTTTAGATGGTGTAAAAACGTGTTTCTTATGTAATATGGAAGACGAGTCTTATCTTCATCTATGGCAATGCCGGAAGCCATCACTTCATTAATACCTATATTCAACAACTTTTCTGGCAGGGCGCAATCAGATTTGCGCTATATTTTCTTGGACTCGAAAACCGATGTCAGAAATTTATTAAACAAATATTTATTAATTTTTTTACTTAATTATACCCCAAACGACTTTTAGCACCTTTTCAAGCGGCTATTAGATCAAAGGAGCGTATCAAACGTTTATTATTATCATTCGTTCATGATCTACATGTTGAAATCTACAACACTATTTGGAAAACACGCAACTCAAAATTTAAAGAATGGAAAATTTTCAACAACATATCTAAAAAGACCTTCCAAAACTACCGACGTAGACAAACACATAATTCGCCACCCTCGAAGATCACTCACGACGACAACCTACACAATCGTCTCAGTATCGATGTCCGTATAGCGATGATAGACGCACCCTTGTCATTACCGTCATGTGGATTTATTTTACCTCTTCAAATTTCCTTCATAACTTACCGTGGTATCATTCGCTAGACTTTTCTGTTTTCGAAATTGGTAGAGCTAATATCCCCGATTTCATAATTGAATGCGCTTTGTATCAGATTTATTTTTCAGGATTAAGTCAAAATTTCTGATATAAATCAGCATTTATATTTATTACCTTTACCATATTAAAGATTAAACAAACTTGATCGCTCGTGAACATGAATAATGTTGGGTAAAGACTCAAAAGAAATACTATTAATGTCTGAATTATATTAATAAAACCTTTATTTATTTATATTAATACATTTGATTATAAAAATATGAGAAAAGAATAATATTAAATATTTGCAATAAATATATATAAATATTTCGCTATAAAAAGCGTAGTTTCAAACTAACATTTCCCACCAACCGCCGCGTTGCTCACTCTTTCTTATTTACTTGAAATACTTCATAATCTTCAAGTTCAAAATCCCCATCTTCACTAATTTTAGTTTCATAATCACCATTTCTACATTTTCTCTTAAATATTTCAAGATCATATTCACCAAAACTATGACTATTATTAATACAATCATATATTGCTTTTCCTTTATTTTTGACTCTACTTAGTATAACAGTTGATGAATTTAAAGTTGATTGATTAAATGAAAAAATAAAACTATCATTTGTTGAAAGATATCTACCTGAACCATTCCAACTTATTGGATTATATCCTCCAATGACATTATTTCCTTTCAATTTAATTGCTACAATTGTAGCTCCTTTATTATAACATCTTTCTTTAAAAGTTTTAACATCAAATCCATCTCTATTTCCATTTAAAAGCAATTTAAATTCATATTGTGGTACTCTTGAATAATTCTCTTGTTTTTTATCAATCCAATGAGAAATTTGATAAATATGATCTAATTTAATTATTTTAGAATATTTATTAACACTACTTAATTTTCTTGGTAAAATTTTTGTATTTTGAGAACTTTCTGGAACAAGAAAATTTAAAATAATATCTTCATCAAGTTCTTTTGGTAAAAGTGCTGATAATGGTCGTATCTTATAATAATAATTTTGTGAAGAAATTTGAAAAAATCTAATATGTGGAATAAAATCACGAATTGTTAACTTAATAACTTCCATTTCTTCTGTTTTCCAAAGTGTTGTATTAGAACTAATGGTAGAATTTTTTGAAATAGCCCATTTCAATAAATTATTCCAAATTTCAATTTCTTCCATATCAAAATCATCATTTTGAATAAGTGAAAGAAAAGCATCATTTTCTAATTCTATAAATAAATTAGATTCATTAAAAAATCTTCCAGGATTATTACTAATAATATCTCTGAAATAAACATAAAGTGTATTAAAAACTTCTTGACGACATGATAAAATATTAAATAATTTAATAATATCTTTCTCGGACCATTCTTTTTTTAATTTAACAATATGATTTTGAATATAATTAATTAATTCTACAAGATTAATTTCATCCGCTGCAATAAGTAACTCCCCAATCCCTGTAATGCTTGTATCTAAATTTATAATCCCGGTATAAATATATTTTAAAATGATCTTAAATGTGTCAGCTTTGATATTTGGTTTTTTAAAAATAGTAACATTCCCTTCTTTCCTCGTCCAATTAGACGATAAAGCGGCCTTAAAATAAGTTGACCTAATTCGTAATATATTAGAATGTGCTTTAAAATCGTCTGAATTAGATCCTTCTCCAGCTTTTATTATTACGTCGTAATCATCTGCTTCATTATATAATTTATTTAAGTCTTGTAATAATGAATTTATTAATGTTTCAGAAGTCATAGTAATTAAGAAGAAAGAATTTTGACGGTATGTTGTATTTGCATATGTTGTGTTATAAAATAAATTTTTTTGCCGATATTCTAACGCAAATTAGTTTAATTGTTTAATTAATGTTACAAGAAACAGGATGATCCCTTTGTTTGTGCAACTGAACACATGGTAAACAAAAATTTAATTTCGTGAAGATCGCGAAGATTAAAGCCATAAAAAACTATATTTTTTATAAATATAATTTAATTTTTGTAACATTTATTCATATAATTCGGAGTTACAGTATTATTTTTTGGAATTTTTTATTTCATTGATAAATCATGAAGTATTTGATAATAAAAATACGTGAAATTTGCCATAGTGAACAATTTCCATCATTATAATCTTTAGAATTAGCAGCTTCACTCTATAAATTTTTTTTTAGAAAATTGATCACACGTCAGCAGCAGTGTTCGAAAAGACCTGGTCATTTTACCATTATCAAATTTTTATTATTTTTTTTTTTTTTAAAAAAAAAGTATAATGTAGGCCAGAATTATAACGCTAGCCAACATTAATCTCAAAATGACTCGGGTCGTTTGTCATTTGTCATTTGAATTTCAAGTCATTTGCCAAAGGAAAATCTCAGAAAATTTCTTATATAAGCCAAGTACAACTTCACAGAAAAAAAATTTAATAGAAAAATAAATAAAAACAAATAATTTTTTTTTTTTACGTGGTTATTAGTTTTATTTGTGATTCCGGTCAACGCTATTTATTATTCTCTTTTTGACCCGCACTTTAACTATATGGCAAAAATTTTGAAATAATAAAATTTATTATAACGTGCGTCTAATTTCATAACCCTAATACACCATATTTTCATAATTATTACTATAACGATCTCTTTTATGCAACAAATATTGTGAGGCAATAGCGTAGCGTTGGTTCGTCAAATAATGATACATGAGAGAATATCAATTTTTCGTCGACTAAAACATTTTAATGGGAGATAATGCAATATATTCATCATTTATCACCTTTTGGACTAAGATTTAATCTTGTAATATTAAATTACGTTAGTTCGTATTAAATAAATTCTGATAAGGTTTATCTTTATCTCTCTTACGAAATTAAATAAATGCACAATTTATTACGTTCTTACATAGTTTATTAATGATATTTGTAAAAAACTTTGCTCATTAATGAATTATTTCCAATTTTATTGATGAAAAATCAAGGTAATACCGATTTCTGATTTTATTAAGTGATTAATAAAAAAAATTTTTTTGTGCAAAAATTTTAAAAAGATAAAAAAGGGCGCGAGTTAGGGTTAAGATAGGATTAGGGTAGGACTGGAATTAGGGTTAGGATAGGGTTAGGATTTGAGGTAGGATTAAGGGATTAAGGGTAGGATTAGCGGAAAATTAGGGGTAGGATTAGGGATTAATGTAATTTCTATTAAAGTGTTTATCGACATTAAAAATAAACATCTGAGAGTTTCTTCGTCAATTTGATTTGCTGTAATAGATTGTAAAGGTCAAATATATGTCTCTAATTTACCAACAAATCTTCGCTTCGCTCCGTACAATAAAAGGTGGAACTCCAGATATAATTTCCACTTTCACATGATCATTTAAAGACTGCATATGTCACTGAATCGAGAATAAGGGCTGCCTCTTAATGTATTCGTGAATTAAAATATTTCCATCGTGATTCGTGAAAATCGCGATGGACAAGATCTTGTCTATGTATTTCATTAAACTATTATGCAACATATATATATATATTTTTCCAATTGTTTTTATATACTGTTGATAAATTTCTTCTTAGGTTGCCCTTATTCGCTTAATCCATTATTACTATAGCCCAAAGAACCAAAAATTTATAATTGCAGATGGGCTCGGATCAATTGTATTTTCTGTTTAACAAGAGTTTTTATTGAAAGAGGTGAGGTGAAGGAGGAGGTGTAGGAGAACGTGTAGGAGGAGGTGTAGGAGAAGGTATAGGAGGAGGGGTAGGAGGAGGGGTGGAGAAGGTGTAGGAGAAGGGAGTGAGGGGATTTTTCAAAAATTGATTTTTTTTGTTATCTAAATTTAAAATTTTTGAGAGGTTTTGTTAAACAGAAAATCAAATTGGTCCGAAATGAATCATAATTAAATAAATTTTCTTTAATATTATTGTGGCATTGCAGCATTTCAATATCATGCCGGAGAGGTTGATCTAATGTTGTATTCTCAATTTCAGTCCTTCTTTCTTGACGCTTGTTTCACAAGTTTTTCAATAACCTCGGATCAGGTCTAGGAATGAAACCGAACGATCGTTTTTTACTTTGTTTATTATTAATGATATCCTTGAAATTATCCGCGAATGAGTCGATATCTACAACTGCTTTCCATTTGAATCTATATAAACCATCATAATTAGTTACTGCAAAAATTCATGAATTAATAATGATTAAATAAATATGTACTCACCAGAAACCTTTTCAAATATATCAATGTACTCATTTAGAGACATGTTCGCGCCAGCAACAGTAATTTCAGAATTACGAGCTTCTGGCGTTTTAAGTGACTCTACGGTATATTTACCAAAATCGGAAAAAGAAGTGGTGGGAATCTTTTTGCTAACATCATCATAGAATGTAGCTTTCTTCTCTTTGATATCAAATCCACACCGAAGAATATGTTCTTGGAGTAGTCCGAAATAAATATACGTATATTCGAGACCACTTTCTTCTACATAATCTCTAAATTTGTTTTTATTATCCGTGATTGGATGAGCTTTAACCCTTTGTTAAGAAAAAAAAAAAATCATTATAAATTTTATCATAAACATACAACAAAAAAAAGAAAAGAAAAGAAAAAAAACATACTTCATCTTTACGGATGGGATGAACCTTTTTACTGAGGCATCTTTGGCTGGTGCTTGAGTATTACAATAGGTCGCACCGTCAAGATCGACATTTAAAGCACTAATAAGAACATCGGTTCCTTTAAGTGCTTTAACAAGATTATAATTTTCATTATAATCCACGTATACGATTTCTGCTCCCTTGGAAGCCAATGATTTAGCCATTTTATTATCATTTTCTGGCTTCCGTCGAAGAATTTTAATTTGATAGGAGCCATCATCCAAAAATGCCTCAGCTATAATATGGTCTACTTTATTCGTACCTCCAGCTATAGTTACGGTTTTGAATTTGGAGATACTCATAATGAGACAGTTTTTTATTTAAAAAGGTTTATAAATTTTAGATATTATTTGAGAGATATTTATCAATACCATATATAGTGAAAGAGTATTGATAAATTTTAAATATTATGTGAATTTTAGATACTAAGTGAGAAGTTAACAATATTTAATAGTTCCTTTTCGTCAAAATCCACCCTATTTATATTTAATGTTTATATTTTGTTTACCATATAGAGTTAATAAATATCATTGTTCGGATCAGAATATCCAGAATATTCCGTAAAAATGAAACATTATCCTTAGCGAAAATTTTTTTTTTTATTTGGCATACACATATTTTATTGACTATTTGCTGATTATTGAATATACATATATGGAATAAGCATACGTACATACGTTTTGTTTACATAAAAAAAAAATGCCAAAATTCTTTTTTTTTCACGAAATAAATCAGGAACGAAAAAAATATCAAAAAATATAATAACTTGTCCAAATTTGTTGAATTTGTTGTATAAAAAATTTCTAAAAAAAGAGACTGGATCCCAAATCTAGAACGCCAACATGCATAGAAGTTTCCAACCCAATTATATTATGCAGTTAACCATTGAATATGTTATATCATTATATGCGACATGTTTCCTTTGTATGCACATGTTTCAACATATGTTAAAAAATTTTCTAATCGCTTTCATGATTTTTCCTTTTACAATTCATTATTCGTAAGAGTTGCATATCAGATGATTGTTCTATCTGCATTCTTTTTGGTGAGCTAGGCCCTGTATATTTAAGATCTGCTAACTTTAAGATTGCTATTGTATTCTACTTTAGGAAATCGTATTTTTTTTTTAGTTTTTATTTTAAAAATATATTATTCGTTTTTTTTTTGAAAAAATTGTATATTATTTTCTTTAAAAAAAACTCTGATAAATAATATACATAAAATTTATTTATATATCCTTACAATCTTATCTGAAATATCTCAAAAAAAAAAAGAATAAATAGTTTTTCTTGTATAAGTAAATAAAAAAAAAAGCAATGCGTTGCTTTTTTACCTATAATAAGCATTTCGGTAATATCTGTATGTACTCCTGAGTTTTTTGATAAGGTTTATTGGTCATATGTTCAAAACCTATAATATGTAAATGATTAAAAATTCTTTGAGATGCCAAATATGATAATGGATCGCTGATCGACATTTTTTTAGCTGTGTATATTCATGGCGTAGCATACAATAATTTGCATTAAAGTAATGATTAACCATCAAAGAATTAATTGTTTTGGGATAAATATTTCGGAGTTCCGTATTTTTTTTTTTTTTTTGCTCTTTTCTAACGAGCGCAATAGACAAAGGCGATTTCTTTTTACAAATTATGTACTACTATTCTAATTGTTTTTGGATAATATTTCGGAGTTCTGTATTTTTTTTTTTTTTTTTGCTCTTTTTTAACGAGCGCAGTAGATGAAATTTATTGTTTGATTTGTTTGCATATTTCGATAGGTTGAAAAAGATTTTTCCAATGAAAAAATTTGTAATTAATTGAACGTTAGTGATGTACTTTATAATTAAGTACAGTATATAGTATATACTACTACTATAAAATAGCAAAAATTTTAGTATTATACACTAACTTTTTATTAATTAACAACTTGCGCAATTATATTAATATATAAAAAATTGATGTCACTTTGATCGGTGACACAATAAAACTTGTACTCTTAATTTTCGCTAGCTCGGAAGGCGTCACTTAACAAAATTATTTTCAGATAAAGACTGAAAACCGTTATTAAGTCCGAAGTGGTGTCTGTTATCTAAGGAACATAACAGAATAATGATGGGCAGAATAACGGACATGACGTCATCAAACGTAGTGGAATGTTTTCAGACTTCCCGCAGCATCACCATTGATTTACTAAATTATTTAAGATATTATTTAAGCGTCTAAAATTAAAAAATATATATAACAGGAAAAATCTTGCATGTCCTGATTAAAACAGCCAATTTGGATGGAATCCACTTCCTACTTGCCACCCATATTAATGGGATTGGGAAATCCCATATCCCATCCCATATCCTATCATCCCATCCCATATCCCATAATCCCATTCCAAAATTCCAATCCCATATCCCATATCCCATATCCAATATCCCATATCCCCATATCCCATATCCCATATCCATATCCCATATCCCATTAATTTGATTTTTTTTTTATTATAAAAATAAATATTTTTTACTACAATAATTTTTTTGTTATACTAAACAATTTTATAAAGCAATAAATAAATAAAAAATAAAAAAACTAATTACAATGATCTATCGAGTTCCATAACGTATAACGTATAATATCATATCATAAAATTGTTTATAAGCACTAATTGCATAATGTATTTATTCTAATAAAAAAAACCGAAATACTTAATGTTTTGAAATGATACTCTTAACATTAAAATTAGTTATAAAAAATATTATTATTAAGAAAAATCAGTTTAATAATTTGTGAAATCGGTGAATTCTGTCAGTAAGTAAGTTGACTGTCGGTGAAATACTGTAAGCTGAATCTGATCTCTGTAAAATTAAATAGTCATATAAACGAACGCGGTATGAATTTCATGCGAGAAAAACAAAATTGTCAAATCGATTTTACGAATGTTCTCAATAAAAAAATGTTAACAGTCAGTTCGTGAATTTGATGTTGACGTCTTTCGTATTTTTTTATTAAATTGCGGCTTTCAGCAATTCAGTTTGAGTCGTCGTTCTTGTTCTTTGGCCTCTTCCGATGTTGTAAACAATTATGACATTTGGATGCTTCAAAAAGAATGGTAAAATATATCTTCCAATCTTCTTCATAAGTATCATAGTCTGGAGTATACTTGCAACCCATTTAAAATCCCATTCCATTCCAATCCCATATCAGTCCCAAATCCCAAACCCATCCCATCCAAAATCCAAATCCCAATCTCAAAATCCCATTTAATTATATAGAAAATATTTATGATTTTTAAATTTTTTTATATATAGTATATAATATTTTTATATATAATATTTTTATTCTTTAATATTTTTAGTAATATTTTAGATAATTTTGTCTCATGATTACCATCTCGAATTATCATCAGTAAATAAAATTTCACGTAAAAATCTCACGTGATGAAAGAAAAAAAATTTTTAATATTGAAACAAAGTTCTTTGTTTTAAATGCAATAAACCATATTGTGATACAGATATATATTACGTTAATATATATAATATATTGTAAAATTTTGCCCCCAAAACCTAAATTGCATATATATTTGATAAATAAATATGAAGATCATCCCCCTTTTTTTAATTCTGGGCAAGATCATTAATAATGATGCAGATCAAAAAAAATCTTAATGCAGGCCGGATTGTTAAATTTTCTATTACCCTTTTGGGTTTTTAACGACCAAAGGCAATGAGATTCCATATGTTTATTCTAGGCTTCTAAAAAGGAATTATGCAATCCATAAAAAGAAAACAAGGGGATCGTCATAATCGTATGATATGCAACTAATAGAATAATGAAATTCTACAAAAAGACAAAGAATAAGGGTCAAAAAACCCATTTTTGTGTCGTTATTATAAAAATATATGAAATTTTTTTTTTTAAATCAATTTACAGAATTAGAAATAAACAATTATGTCATTTAAACTTAAACATGCCAAGAAATGTATTGAATAGTTCTACAATTTTTTTTTCACACAAAAGAAAGGTGTCATGGGAACTTTGAAAAATCTTTATTTTTTATCGATTTTAGCTAGTTCAAAATTACAATCTACTAATAATATTTTCTTAAAGGATTGTTAAAATCGAAAATTCCAATAAATGCATATTGGCGTTTTTCGGAATTAGTCATCTTTTGTTGTTTAAATAAATTTTTTTTTTTTTAAAAAAAAAAAAAAAAAAAATTAGCCCAAATAACCTAAATGAATCATATGAAAAATGTATCTTTTTTTCTCTTTTCTCAAAAGAAAAAATATTGCCGATTTTTTTTTAAAAAAAAAGAATTTCAGAAGTTGTATCGCGGAATTCCGAAATTTTTTTCAATGAAAATTTTACGTTTACTTTTGTATGTCGTCATATGTCATAGTAAAAGATCCACAATGAAATTAAAATGTAAACGTCACTGGCCAACTAAATATCGATCGTACTTCAATAAATCCCAAAATAGTATACATTATTGAAATTTTTTTGTAATAAATATTTTTATATTATCGGTTAAAATGTTACCTTATTATATCTCGTGATTTGCCGATCAGTAGCACAAAATGATTAGCGTTATGGACCAATTACTAATTAAATTAATTAAATTTGGAAAATTGCCATTAGCGTTAGGAAACATGATTTCCAGCCACTTCCTTTTTGTAAGTACAACACCATATCCACACGCTTTATTTGAAGTGGTTTTTTCATAATTTTATATTTTTGTTTCAAAATTTTTAGTAGTGGGCAACGTCAGATTGTTGTTTTATTACATAGCCACATCCCATGATCGGGTTGATCGGCGAATCATGAATTAATAATAATTGAATTTAAAGAAGCTTTTTTTGTTATATTTCAAGTCATTTTTGTCAAATACCAAGCCATTTTGTTAACTGTAAATATCAATACAATTAAAATACTGATTTTAGGCTGATTTGGCTAATGGCTTTTTCGTTAATATTTAATTAATGGTTTCTTTATTAAGTGTTTAACTAATGGCTTTATTTCTAAATGTTTGATTAATGGCTTTTTTGTTTAATATTTAACTAATGACTTTTTTGTTAAGTACTTAATAACTAATAGTGGCTTTTTGTTACTAAATATTTAAATTATGGCTTTTTTATTAAATATTTTGATTTGTGGCTTTTTTAAGTGCTAAGCCCATTAAGAATTAATATAATTTTAATGTTAGTATTTCATTAATTTTTTTTGCATATTTAACCTTTTGCATTATTTTTTTTTACATATTTAATTAATAATAAATAAATATTATCTAATATTAAATTATTTATTGGTTAAAAATGTTATAACTTTAAATTTCAATTATTATCTATTTACAGTATATATATACAATATAAAGTCTTCTGTTAAGCTTTTTTTGTCAAATACGAGCCATTTTCATCAAATACTAAGACATTTTGATTTGGCTAATGGCTTTTTTGCCTAATGTTTTTATGGCTTTTTAATATTTTGATTGAATGGCTTTCTTAAGTGTTAAGCCTTTTAAGAATCTGTATAATTTTAATTTGGTATTTAAACCTTTTGAATTATTTTTTTTGCATATTTAATCAATAATAAATAAATAAAATTATTTGGTTAAAATGTTACACTTTATATTGTCCTTATAAAAAAAAATTCTCCTCAAAGACTCAGGCACGTGATCATTTTTTTTTGTTAACCAATTGGTTAACTTAGAAGGAGCGAATGATAATGAATTAGAAGTTGAAAATATTATCGATTTATCAACAAGCTCCGTATTATTACCCTGAATGGCTGATTCTGTAAGCTTAAAGCACTTTAAAAAGAACTTTATATTTATTATATTATCTGTTCTGTTTGAAAATATATACATCTTTTTGATATTAAAATAGTTTGAAATGGAAATGATGATATTATCGATGCTGTGCGCCATCAAAAAGGTTTTGTATTGGTGTCAATTCGTGGTGTTGATACCTGTATACTAAGTAACATATGCTAAAATATTTATTTTTTAATTTTTTTTACGTTATCTCTACAATTTACGTTTTCGGTTATTAAGAATTGAAATTTGTTGTACAATAGGCAGCGC